ATATTATACATAAGTATATATAATCCTTTTCCTCTAAGAATTATAAATATTATGTGATTTACATAAATTTAATGATCTAAATCATTAAATTATATATTGAATATTTTGCTCTAACCAGCCAATATCATTTGCCGCTCGTCCTCTTGTGGCCTCTTCTTCAAATTAAACAATAGCTGCAGCAACTTCTCTCTCTCGTTGGAATTGGAATGTAAATGAATTGCACTGAGGATTAAAGGAATGATTTCTTCGCGCTTGTTAAGGATGATGTTGGGTACTACACGTGGCAAAATGTACGTCAGGATCTCGACTAATGTATCTCTCGTGACTCCGCGCTTTAATGATTCCTCCATGGAAGATATTATTGATCCCGAAACATTCGCCAAGCAATGTGTCGCTATTTCTAATTTGAACTTTATTGGCAAATCTCTGCAATATATATGATTATGTTAGATATTTAGAAATTTTTAAGTAATGAAATTTTCACATATCATGAATTAATTATTTTGTAAAAAAATTCAGTTTATATTATTTTGTAGCTCTTGTTTATCTAATTAACTTATTTATCTCTAATTGTTTAACTCAATAAAAAATTTTACATTGTTAAAATTAAATATGTATAAAAAGATAACTAACCTTGAGGATGCGGTTGGTAAGACAGAGGATTTCTCTGTGATATTTACTTTAGGTAATTGCAGTCTAGTCCATTCTTTGTCTCCTGGATCTGTTTCATCTAGACTAACTACTGCAGAAGCGCTATCATCTTCTTCTGGTTCCTGAGTGGTGATTGACATATCCCTTGGTAATGACTCAAGCAGTTCAAACTTGTCAGGAGTTGTCGAGCTGGAATTGATGGTACGGATAGTTCCATAACTACCTGACTGTGAATAAAACAAAAATTTTTTGTGCAACATATAATGCGTATAGTTTAATAAAACTACTAAATTTTAATTTTAAAATGTGCATAAAGTGATAGTTTATAAAATTTTTACAATAATTAATTACAAAATTATTTTATATAGACAAAAGAAAATTTTCTTTATTTATAATAATTGGCTCACTTTGACTGGATTTTCTATAACATTCTCCTTGCTTGATGAAATAATTTCTTGAAGAGCAGTTTTTTCTTGTTCCAACACTATAATTTGCTGCTGTAAGCTTTCAATCTGTTCTGCCTGTAAGGAATATATAACATGTTCTTAGAATTTGAGAATGTAAGTATGGTTACATTTTAGCTTCTGAAACTTTATAGATGCAATTACTCAAAGTAACGAACCATTTCCTGAGATTCATCTTTCTGCTCCTCCACCTCTTCAACAACAAAGTCCGTTTGTACGGCAACACTGACAGACGGAGATTTGTCATATCCATTGGCTCTCATATGATCCCGATATATCTGTAATAATTTCGTGGGTTTTGGTATATCTAATCCAACATCTTGCCAATCCTCAAAATCTTGATCCTCGCATTCATCACTAAAAGTAATTGAAGTGAGCTTATAAGATCTTGCCAGCAAGTATTCATTGATGAGAAAGTTCAGTGCTCGCTGCTCATGTGGTTTTATGGGCAGTTCAATAGTGAGATTCTTTTCCGAGCTCTTGTCTGGTGTCTTCAATGTACCTTCCAACTCTAAAATTTTTAATCACAATGTATTATTCATTAGAAAGTCATTATACAAATCAATATAGAAAAATGATATAAGAAAAACATACCTGTTACTACAGTTAGATTAGCACGCAATGAAGAAATATTTTCTCTAGCCTTGCGCAATTCAAATTCCAGAATAGCAACTCTTTCATCAACACCAGCTCCATCTTCTGAATATCTTGTCATGTCCAAAGAATCCAAAGTTGCCTGACTAGAAGATCTGGCTAATATGTAATGTTTCATTTAATTAATTATCGTCAACCAATAATTAATGAGATTTAATAATTCATATCAACTAATAAAATATGTGAATTTTAAAATGTTTTTCTTTCTTCAAAAAAATTCTTTAAATGAGTCCAATACTTTACTTCTTTTTTTGTTTTGTAAATATTTGCTGTACAAATTAAATAAATATATTCGTGTTGTCTTAAAAGAACTGTTTGCATTAAAATCTATGCCTTTTACAAGACTAATAAGATACATACGCATCGGTGTATATGGTTCTGGTTTGATATTGGAGTTTTCGAAATTATTTGGATTTGAAAAGAACTCTCTAAGGATGGGCAATTCCTTGCCAGCTTCGCATAATTCAGCATGCAACTCCAAAGCCGTTAAGAGAAGCTTCTCATTGAGAAGCTTTGTGGCCATCTCCTCGTAAGATATTGACATCCTTGGAGCCATATATCCTGAAATAACAATGGATATGAAAAGACTTATTCAAGGAAACATATGGTATGTAAATTGCTAATTACTTTTTAGTTGTAAATAGTTTTGCGACGCAGTATGTTAACTATTAACACTAATTATATTGTGTAATTGTTAATACGTGCTATAAAGTTAAATAATCAAAAAGATAACCTTTGTTGTCCATGGACAATGGCTCTTTTATTTCTTCGATAGAACTCGCCATAGTGTTAACGTGCTCAGGTATTTCTAAGAAATGACATTTCCACGTAAGACAATGTTAAATTGTCTTGCGTACGCTTTGACAAACGCACAATACATATGCAATAAAAAAAGATTATTTATAGGAAATCCAATGACAACTCATCTGACGTCACGGGATTGCGTGGCATAGATAGGAAAATCGACGGTAGAATTTTGTTCCTCGTTTCCCTAGAAATATTTCTAGATTTAAATTCCACCAATTGCATTCGAGGAGCATGCGCATCTAGATTTCTCCATTCAATTCAGTCAATTAAAATTGAGGAGATCGTACTTTGATGTTTATTTTAGCTGTAAAATTAATTTTCCGTCTTATATATACATACATATAAAATTTTTGTTATTACACATATTGATACATTACATAAAAAAGCTATACATTATAATAATAAAATGAATGTTAAATATATATATATATATAGAATGATTGATATTGTCTTATATTTTCGTTATACAATGCTAAAAAGTTATTATAATCAATTAAAGTACATAGGACAATTAATGTATAAGCAATAACATAAATAACAATATCAAGAGATTACTTTATTAATTCAATTGTAATATTGTTTATCTTTTTTATTTCATATACTGTACTTAGACTTTTATCGTATATATATAACTTATATTTTATTTCTTGAAAGTCATTATATCAGCACTAACATCCATGAAGGCGAGGTCATGAATGCAAGCATTATATAAACATTACAGCGATGTCTTAGTCCTCATTGCTCGGTCTAGATGTTATCTATAAATTCATTTGTAACGTTAGAAAAACACACATTAATAATCTTGTATCTCTTGTCTTGAGCAGCGCTCCGAAAATGCCGCAGATTTTCACCTAATTTCTCGTATTATCTCCAAACGTCGTGAATTCAAGGAAAACCGTCATCGTCCTCCTCGGCCATTTCTTTGGCCAGTTCCAAGCCTACGTTCTTCGGCGGACTCCAAGTCCTTCCCGTATGACTTAGGCGGGTAACGCATCGCCTTGACGCTCTGATTGTGCAGATCCAGACAGAAAGTGATTCTCTGATGGAAGGCCAGCAGCGGTTCCTTAGTGCAGTAAATATCTGTAGTCTCCTTACTACGCATGTAGCCATTTTCTGGATCCAGGGTAGCCTCGATGACTCCATCGCGAATCGCTTTCGCGACGATGAATTCCGCGTCTACGCTAGAATCCAATCCCAATTTGCGGGCTATGTCGGTTGGCGAGATGCGCGAGTAGGAGAGTCCGATGGAGCGGATCGCGGTTTTGATGACGTTGTGCCGCAACCGCAAGATCAGCGTGAAGGTATGATCCGCGCGAAACTGCGGCCCAAAGTTCTCCAATACTTCACCGAACCGCTGTAGATTGCCCAGACGTACAGCCTGCGTCAACTGAAAATACGGACCTAGGGCTCTTCGTAGAGCGGCCTGTCGGAATATCTGTCTCTCCGGAATGTCGCCTAGAAGAAGCTCCACAGCGACCGCCAGTTTCTGAACCGTTTGTCTGAATCCGACAGCTGTAGTCTGCGGCGCCTTGCGCATCGCTTGCACGAGATACTTGTGCGCGGCCGAGTACTCTAATCTGGCGGCCTTTATCCTACCGAGATAGTAAAGAAATCTGGCCCATTCGTTGTTGCTGGCCGATTCGGGAAAGGTCGATTTCAGCACCAGCTTGTCCGCTTGATCGTAGAGATTATAGTGCAAATAGTTACGTAGCAGGCAATTAATCAGAACTGCCTGACCCTCGAAATCGTTACGCAGAGTCGCGGTGCGCAGACGAAGATGCAGAAAACCGCGTATCTTGTCCAGCTGATTCGTCAGCTCGTACGCGCGGGAGTGATAGAAGTAGCACTTGGCCGCGATGAGATCTATGGTTCTGCGATTCTGGGCTGCGATCTTCTGAACCAGCAGCTCGGAGCACTGTACCGCTTCGTTGTACTTCCTAGTGTCGATGAGCCGGATCAACACCAACAGGTGAATGTAAGCGTCGATCTCGGGCAGTAGCGACGACGAGGAGCTGCGGAACTTTTGAACGACGGTCTGATTGTCGTCGACGTCCATCGGCTCCTCCACCCAGCCGAGCAGGGCGTCGCGCTCGGCGGCGGATCTGGTGTAGAAGCCCGTGACGAGGCCGCGCAACACGACCGGATTAAGACGACGACGGGTGTTGGGTAGGGCGCGTAGAGCGCGCAACACGAAGCGCGGTTCCTTGTTCTGGACGGCCTTCTCGATCTGCCGGGTGTGCTCGCGAATGTCGTACAGGGTCTGCACGTCGGTGTCCTTGCGCTCGCCCGCGCCGTCACCGTCGCCGCTCTGGGCGTCTGGTGCGTTTGCGGGATTCACGGGGTCCACGTCCATCGCCTCGACGTTTCTGCCAGTCGGCACGCCCATTGTTCCTTTCGTTTGTCCTGCTCTTGTTCGGCAACGATCACGATGTTGACGATGCGTGTTAACTGACGGGCCGGGATTCTCTCTCTTGATTATCGAATATAACCTCGTATTCAGATTCTCATCGCTCCAACGCTCGTATTTGTGCAAGTTCACGCAAAGCTCGACGAGAGGTTAGGTCGTCTGCGAGCTCATTGGTGCGTTCGGTTTTGGAGGAAGCTCGAAACAAACCATTGACGATGTATAGATTGTAGAGTCGCGACTCGACGTCGAATGCGCGATTATTCCCCATAAAATCACTAGACGGATATTTACACAAAATCGCGCATCTTTGTCGATAGTTTGTCGATGCTTTTGGTTCTCTTCATAGCATATAAGATCCGTCTATGTGTATTTGATATGTCTATGGTTCGCGACGAAGTAAATGGTGTAAACAACGATGGCGGCTACCGCTTCACGAGTGGAGGAGCTGATTAAATATTTTAAATCGCATAACAAAATTCGGGAGCAGCAGAGTCACTCGGCGAAGGTGCACAGCGTGGGATGGAGCTGCGATGGCAAATACCTGGCTTCGGGCTCCTTCGACAAGTCCGTCTGCATATTTTCTTTATGTCCTGATCGTTTGGTTAGTAAATACAAACATGATTTTCTCTAAACGTTTATTTTTAAAGCGGCATTTTTCTGTAATGTTTTTCTCGTAACACTTGACGTTCTCATTATTTTTATTTGCTCGTTTATATATAAAATTAATAATTACGACACAAGAAAAATAGACATTTGGTAGTCATGAGATATAAGGATACCACAGGTGATATAAAAACTATTTTTTAAATCAATTTTCAATATATATATATATATATTTAAATAATTGAAGAGTTAATAAATCTCCATCTTTTATCTCTTCAAGTTTACATTTAACATCATTTTGAAATATGAAATTTGATTACTAGCCTTTAATATAAATTTTTTTTTACAGAAGCAGGAAACAACTTTTAGAGGACATGGCGGTAGCGTGGATCAATTGTGCTGGCATGCCTTCTACCCAGAATTATTATCCACAGCGAGCGGAGATAAGACAGTTCGTATCTGGGATACAAGGACGCAGAAATGTACGGCAAACATCAGCACAAGGGGAGAGAATATCAACATATCATGGTCACCGGACGGTAACACGATCGCGGTTGGAAATAAGGAGGATCTCGTGACTTTCATCGATGCCCGGGTAATGAAGATACGCGCGGAGGAGCAGTTCAACTTCGAGGTAAACGAGATTTCGTGGAACAAGGACTCGGACACATTCTATCTGACGAACGGCCAAGGTTGCGTGCACATACTTAGCTATCCCGAATTGGAATTGTTACACGTGATCAAGGCGCATCCCGGTACCTGTATCTGCATCGAGTTTGATCCGACTGGCCGGTATTTTGCCACCGGATCCGCGGATGCGCTGGTGTCCCTATGGGACGCCGACGAATTGTGTTGCTTGAGGACGTTTTCGCGATTGGACTGGCCGGTGCGCACCATCTCCTTCTCATTTGACGGACAGCTGCTGGCGGCGGCATCCGAGGATTTAGTTATAGATATCGGTGAGGTGGAGACCGGCGAGAAGATCGCCGATGTCCCGGTGGAGGCAGCGACATTCACTGTCGCGTGGCACCCAAAACAGTATCTCTTAGCTTACGCGTGCGATGATAAGGACACTTACGATCGCAAACGCGACGCCGGAAGCTTAAAGGTGTTCGGCTTCGCGAACGATTGAGCGATCGTTTTTGTACTGAACTTACATTGTGCATTCGACAGGTGTTATCTTATTTTATAGATATATCTTAATTAATAATTAAGCGAGATATATATATAAATTTGATATAAATTTAGAACGATATTCCACACTTGCTGTCTTGTGTAATTTACAAAGTCGTGCAACACATTTTTTTGAGGTAATAAATTGTATAGAAGACAAGAGTAAAAAATTTTTTACAAATATGAAAAAATATGATATATTTATACAAAGGAGAATATATTAATTCTTTTAATTCACAATAGTTGTATAAACAGGGTACGATAAAAGTGTCATTAAGATTATATATAAAATAAACGGAAAAAATTTTTTACAGATGCAAATATAGAACAATATGATATATTTATGAAAACGAATCTGAATAAATCGATTTTTTTATTTCACAATATTCGTATAAACATAAACGAAAAGAGACGAAAATCTCATTAAGAATTCTGTTTCAATAAACACAAAGTTGTATGTACATGTACAACATACATTCCAGTTACACTTTGTATATTTCACTTTGCCGATCACACTCGAATCGATTTATTGATAGAAATTGGACATATATGTGGAATCTTTTGTTGACGGCTCGGTTGACATGGTTACTGTGTCCAGCTTGAATCACTCGAACCACGTGAGTCATATTTCATTTTGCTTGTATGAAGATCATCAGAGGAAATCTCGCGTTCTTCGTTGGATCTCATTGGATCTTGCTCAACATTCTCCGATGATCTTCATCTCGCGATGGCAAATCCGGATGAGACAAAGATCATCTGCGAATGTCTATACACTCCTGAAGACGAAAGTGTGAAGGATAACTTCAATAACGCTCCTAACATTCACGAGATCGACGAGGAGAGCGAGACCGAAGAAACGACGATCTTGGAGCACCCGAATCCTTCTGCTCCGGACGAAGAAGATGATTACGTTGCACAGGAGACCAGGAATGCATCGGACGACGAATCGGCATACGCAGGAGAGTCCTTTTGCTCCGACGAGTCTTGCGACGAGTCCGAAGTCACTAACATCGCATCAGGATCGCTAAATCCCTCCTCTCTGCTCCGCATCGGTGATCTTCAGCGCAGCCAGAGTTCGAAAGAGCCGGACGAAGATGTCAGCGAATTAAGGTGGAAGGATGAATCTTACTCTATGAGTGACGAACCGTCTCGCGCAGCTACGGCGGATAGATTGACCAGGACGAGGAGATGCAGACGATGGAACATGAGCTTCACTGATGAGGAGATGCGTAAAATCGAGCGGGAAAACGAGCTGCTGCTGAGGAAGATTATGGCGCAGCAGAAACCCCGGCATAAGATCCTCGGTGAACGCAGTGCTCAGCCTAGGATCAGCAGCTCCGCGATAAACAGGAAGAAGTTGCAGAAGAGGATAGAAGACGACAATATGGTATGTAATTACTTTCGATATTGCAGATGTGCGTATCAAAAGGTAAAATGTATAATAGATATTATACATACATTTCAATTGTAAGTAATTTGAGCATAAACTGGCGCGAGAAACGCATAACGCGAAAACTTTATTTGCAGCTGCTCCTCAGAAGGATACAACAGGCCAAGTCGTGCGTCTTCGCGAATGCATCGAAAACGGGTTGTAGATTGACCTTTTTGTAGAGCTCTTTTTTTTTATAATTTGAAAAAATATTTTTATATCATCTCATTTAGAAATTGAATCAACCGTATCTGCTGATTAAGATGAATTTGATAAACTGATATTACAGCTCTGTAGAGAAATGACACGAATATAAATCACATGAAATGATACACTTTTTTAAATATATATAATCTATCAGTGTCGTACCGTTTCGCAGAAGAAGAGCTCACAATGTTTTTTTTTTTTTTCGGTTCCGTAATCTGTGAGGAAAAAGAATTCTTACTTTTTAAAACATCACTATGCACTTTTTTTGTGACTTCTTTATTAAAACACAACGATTACCAGTCTTGAAGAATAGGTACACATTTCTTTCACTTTTCATACTTTGTATACGGCGCAACCTTGTAAAACTTACTCTTGAAAATTTGCTTGAAGGTATCTCTACAAGTCAAGACTATAAAAAATCACAGTTCTCACTCGTCTCGAATAACTTAATTATTATTCGTGATTAATATACCAAGATCCGGGACTCTCGAGTATTGCGATAGTTTATTTTCTTTTCTCCCCCCCTTTTTAGTCCCTCTTTTTTTTAATCCCCCTTACATATGCATACGCGGACAATGTCGCGAGAGAAGAGAAAGAATGTGCTGTAAATCAAGAAGCAAATAATAAATTTCCGTATATATAAGCCATGTATAACGATATAGTTGTTCCTTTAAATTAATACGTGCTGTGATTATAATATGAAAAACTGCATTTCCTTTTTTTTTCCACTTTTTTATGCAAGTTCTGTAATTCCACATGTGCTATTTCCATTTTATTTGTAATCGATCAATCAATATATGTATCTCTTATAAAACAAACCAAACAAAAAGAAAAGAATAATCAATTATCCTGCACAAAGTACACCTCACTCATAGTAATTTAAAGTATCGCATTAGTATGCTTTAAATAAAGAAATAAAAAATGAGAAACATAACATCTAGATTTTGGTTTAAGAAACAATATGAAAATAACTCGTTCGAGAAACTATTCATATCTGCGTGTGTTACTACGTCCAACGTAATAGTAACAATCATATCACAAAGTACGCTCAGCGTAGTTGTAACAAAATATAACAATTTCCAATGTGGCTTTCGAATCCATATATCATGGTCGCAACAATCATATTGTCGCTGTTAAGAGACCGTCATTTACTTTCGATTTTTGCCAAAAAATCGTGAAACAAAAACGTACGATATCACAAGATAAAACCTTCCTTTGTTTCTTCTATCATATTAATCCTCGCGTTTCGTTCGCCACGATTCAGTCGATGACGGCGTCCATATTGTGCTGAGCGAACGAAACGGATCAAATCCGGATCGTTCCTGGAATGATAAAAAAAAAAAAAAAAGAGAAAAAAAGAAACATTACTTCATGAATCATTCCGTTAGACGCATTTTAGTATTCGTTATCGTTATTTACTTGCGTATCCGACTCGGACTGTAATGTTTGCGACATCATGGGCGGTGCAGCTGCACCCCAGGGTGCTGCAGCCCATACACCCCCCGTATTGATTCCCCACACGCCACTACGTTCCTCTCCGACCGCCGCTCTGGTATACAATGGTTCCCAATTCGTATCAACTGTCCAATTATCTGTAATCGTGTATTTAATATACACTTGTAAAAATATTATTGTACATTGTGTGCAAATTTTTTTTTTTAATCTTAAAGACATTATTAGATGAATTTTGTCGATTCTCTTAAACCTTAATTTAGATTATTTAGGATTAGAAATGCTCTAGTGCATAGTATTTTTTTCTAAATAAATTTTCTAAATACCTTTCAAATCAGACAAAACAGGTTTCTCTGTTGTTTTCGGTGATTCCAACTGAAATCCGCTTGTACTGTCTGCCATCAAATTTATCATAGGAGTAGTATCTTCCCACAATTGACATCGCGTGTCTTCTTCAGGTGTCTCCAGTTCTACTAAAGGCTCGTCAGTTTCTGGAAGATCGTCGTATGGCACCAGTTCGCGTTCAAACTATAAGATTCGATATTTGATTTATTCAATTAATATTTGAGTTTATAACGATATTTGAGAATAAAATTAATTCAAATTGTGATATTTACAGGATGTTCTGTGAAAGTATTGATGAAGTAACTATTCGAATGTTGCACATCCGGCTGTAAGATTAGAGGCTCCGAATTGAGTGCTTTATCTTTGTCCAGTGATGTGATACAGAGAGGGGTTTTTGACATCAAACTATACTCCTTCGATGTCTGCAACAACTCTTGCGTCGACTGTGATTTAGCATATTGAACATCTTTGACGTCGGTGCCGAACACCGTGGACAGATTTGACATATTCGTTTGACTCTTGTGATTTACATGATTTAAATTGGAGAACGGCAAAACGATCTCCTGACTTCGGGCCACCACGTCGCTGAACTTAGCTCTGTTCTCGCCCCAACACGAGGGCGGAGGCGGCAATGGAGTCGGAATTGTTGTTCCTACGCCGCGCGTTACATCCTCTTTTTGGCTTATGTTTCCATTTACATTAGGAGCTATAACAGTAACAAATGAGAATTTTTATAAATCTTTTTATGCAAATTACATACACACACACACACACACACACACACACACACACACACACCTGAAATAAAAGTACTTGTATTTTTATACATATACATTTACATAACTAAATGTTATAGATTGATAAATATGATTTATATGGATCAAAGAATAAAGAAAGATTGCGCGATTTATACATAGATCAATAGATTCAATATGAAATAAAATCTACTTTTATATTATATTGATTCGAAATTTAAGAATCTAACAAAAAAATATATCTATAATAGCTTTCGTTATAGTATATATTACATATGAATAACATACATTTGATGTGTGTTTCGACGTTTCTGCACTGTCTTCTCCTTCCGTGGTGGATTCTTATTCTGACGTGATAACTTGAAAGATGATTCAACGGTGCGTGAGGTATGAACATGGTGCTTCATGCTAGATCTACTAGAGCTCGTCTTCCATCTATTTGGATTATTTTGCCTTTCTTTATCATATTCATCGTCATCACAGTCGCCTTCGTAATTATCCTTATAATCTATGCATGGCACAGGAGGAATAGACTGAGGTTTGCTTTTCTTAGATATCGGCTTTCTTTGGAGCTTTTCTTGCTTCCCGCACGGTTGATCAAAATTCTGAATAAAAAAATTAGAAAAGATAAATCTTTTCACAGATCTCTGCAGAAATAACCTATTTGCTTGGAACTTTTAATCAATGTCCCATTTTTGGGACAAAAATTTGATTATGAATATATATATAATTATACATAATTAAATATAATTATGTATAATTATTCTAATATACATATAAGATTATTTAAAAAGTAAAATACGATTGAGTTGAACTAAAATTTTTTATAATCATATCCTTTAATAAATCGACATGACTAGCACTTACTTTACAGGACGTTGTTTCATCGTGGGTCGAACTCTCCGTTGTCGTGGATGAGGTCTCTTCCTCTGAAAGGTGAATGGTTTTTTGAACACTCGTTGATTCGAGCTTTTTCAAAGAAACGTGATTATTGTGATTACTGTTGTTGTTTGCGATGTTATTCGTTTGTTTATTTCGCTTATTGTCCGATTTGTTAATTCGATTGTTATTGATTATTCCCGCGTCCACTTGAACCTCATGATCGAACAACTTCGGCTCTTCCTTGACATTCGGTTGTGTAGATTGTACTTTTCCTTTTCTATTTGATGTCGGACTCGACTTCGTAACCATATTAACAGTATACTTTTTCTCTTGAACCAATTGAGTGTCCGTTAGTGTATCGTTCGCCACACAATTGTCCGATTGAGTCTCGTAAGCATTGCTTTGCTTCTTGCTGTTATTCTTCTTCTTCGATCCATTCGTCATATTCAGGGCGTTAGTAGTGTTATCTACATTAGACGGTTCCTCGCATCGCTTGAAAGACAGCAGATCTTTAGACTCGGTGTCCAACTTGAATCTACGTTCCTCCTCGGTGGACCAGTCCGGGATTTTCAATCCTTTCTGCACGTCTTTGTCCTTACACTTCTTAACGTTCATCAACGACCAATCCGGGAAGCAAGTTTCATCCTTCTTTGTCTTGCTTTTATCGTCGTTTGACGTAATTCTCTCGTTCTTGTTAGCGGTACCGATCTGCGTCGAATTGTGCATCGAGATGTGTGACAGCATCCTCAGATCCAGGGGCGGTTGCACTGGACTCTCCTTCGAATAATTGGCCAGGGCTCCCCGTAGTATTCGATCCGCCTCGAAGAACGAGACCGCGAGAACACTCACCAACACTATCGATGAAATGCTAATGGCGGTCCACTGTACCGCGCGTTCCCACGATGGTCTAGCGAACACCGGCGCGCACAAATCTAATGAGTGCACCGGCAAAATCGCCAATAGATTAAGTATCACCACACCGTTTTCGACATTCTCGTCTCCGTCCGGTCCTCCGCTCGTTAACACCAACAGTTTCCGTTCCACGCGCGACAACGTAAAATCCGGCGTAAACGCTATCTCGATTTTTTTAGTAGCGTTTGGATTCAGCTTGAAAGGCGCGCAATCGAGTATCTTGAAACCGTAACCCTCGCAACGCCAGTCATTGATGTAGAAGCCGTAAATCTCAATCGGCAGCTCTCCCGTGTTCCTAGCCGTGAAAGA